AAAAATATTTTTAAATAAATTTAACTAAATGGATATTTTTAACTTGATTTCGATCGGTCAGTTTGTATGACAGCTATAGGCTATACTGGTCTTGAACAATATGTTTCGATATTGAGCATTTTTTTGGACAATAATTTGTGATAAATTTCGTGAATATAAGTATGTATATATATATCTTGTCAAATAAAAAAAAAATATTATACAAAGTTTTGAGTTTGATTTGTCAGTATAAACAGACAGACGAACATGGCTAAACCGACATAACATTCAAAAAAACAATTTTTTTTTTTGATTTTTAATCTAGATCTCCATTTTTCTTGATAACTCTTTTAATTGAATTATAGATAGTTTGACAGCTGAGTTGCTATCATTACTGATTTTAGCTCACTTTAACCCAGTAATCTTTGATAATTCCCCCAGTAGGTAATTTTTATAGATAAGATTGTGCGTTTTACGATGTCATAAATTGAAATCAAAAACATTTTTTTGAACAAAAAAAGTACACCACAATGGCGCATTTAATTGGTAAAATATGCATACTTGTTAGAAAGGCAGCTTTTATAGCCAAAGTTTGAGTAAATACCAAATTATTGTATTTGATACCGACTAACAATATAAACTTTTTGATCAAAAAAAGTAGTCGCGGTGGAATTGTTCAACAAAAATATATAATATTTGTATATAACATGTATATACACGCATGTTTACATATTTGTGGTGTTCTTTTGAAGATTTTAAAGTTTTTTTTGGATTTGGATTTGGATTTTTTCACAACAAAAACACAAAAACGAGCGTTTTTGCTTTATTTAAATTTTATTTTTATTTATTTATTTATTTTTTGGTTATTTTTTTGGTTTTTTTAATTAATATTTTATTTGTTTTTACTTTAATTTTTTTATATTTTTTATTTTAGTTTTTTTTTCTTTTATTTGTTATTTTTTTATTTTTATTTAGTTTTTTTTTTGTTATATCTAATTTGAAGTTGTGAATGAATTTTATTTTTGTTTGTTTATAATTTACCATATTTGCGTTAAATTAAAATATTTTAATTTATTTTTTCTGGCTTCTATATATTTTTGTAAGGCGAAGTCCGTAGCATTCAAGTGCTTTTAGTTCATAAGTAAACTAATTGGTGTGTTTTAGTGTGTGCCTTATACACATAAACAATAATATTTTTTCGTCAAAAAATTAGTTTGAATATTTCTACTATATTCTATGCAAAATTTTATTCACATCTCTTTTTGAAAATAATTTAATAACTTTTGGAGCAGTAAAAATGTAAATCATTATTGAATAAATCGAATATTAATTAAAATATAAAAAATGAAGTATTAGGCTAGCAAAAGTTCATAAAATATAATATAAAAAATAATGTTTATACGTCAATAATGGTCTGACACAATTCCAAACTACGAAACAAAAACAATAATAATGGATTCAAAATTTGAAATTTATGAACTCCAGAAAAATTATTCCAAATATTCAAGATAAATAAAACTATTATGACCGAAGCAGTAAAATTAATTAAAGTAAATTTTAAGATAAAAAAAACAAAATATATATATTTAATTTTATTATTAATTATTAATTTTTTCGACTACCATTATTCATAAAATTTTTGTTTTTTATTTTTATTAAAAAAAATTTATATATCCCAAATAATCGAAGAAAACTGAAAAAGGATTAATAATAATTTGTTGCAATTTATTTTGCACACACAATTGCTTTCCCCAATTAATTGATAAAAACTAAAACAAAATCATATTTCATATTTTTTCATTTTCATTTTTTATTTATTTTTTCTTAATTTCTATTATTTATTTTTTATTTAAACATATTTCCCAATTGTTTGTTGCAATAATTTTTTTAATTTTTTTGCATACAAAATTGCTTCTCTCAATTAATTGATAAAAATTAAAAAACAATTAATTAATTTAAGTATACATTTTTTCAATTATTATTATTATTATTATTTCTATTTTATTTTTATTCTATTAAGAATGTATTAATTTTTTATTAAAACACTTTATTGTTTGTTCATACCAAATGAACACATCCCTGCATTGTTCTCCTAACTCGTATAAATACGAATTAGAGGACAATGCAAAAGGCTCAACAGCACCAACATAGCTCATAATTCCAATTGGAATTAATCAGCAGACCAAGGAGCAGATATCAACGCGGACGGACAGAAAAGGCGCGAAAATTAGATCGCCCCAGCAATACAAAAACAACAACAGCAGCACCACCAAAATATTCGAGGGATTATTTAAGCCACATCACGTTGTAATTAAATGTATAGTTAATTTATATTATTTAAGCATAACCTATAAATAACATATAATTTGAATTATACACATAACACTTAACATACACACACATAAACATTGTACAATTAACCCACACAAATTGTCTATATTTCTACCCTATATACTAAAAGTAATTAAAGTTACATTTTGTTGAATTTTAATTAACATTTTATTTTATTTGGCACACCGGCAAACGCAACGTCGAGTACCCCGTCATTTTGGTCCTTCGAGCCGGATCCGTTCCCGATAAAATAAAACCCACCCAATTAAACATCGTTTTCATATTATACATTCACCCACCCAATCAACCACCGTTTGGATCATCAAAAATAATATATTCGCCCACCCAATCAACCACAAACTTGGATCAGAAAAGCAACAAGGATTATATACGTGGAAAAAATTGTGAGTACATAAACCCAAATTTTAAAAAAAAAAATATAATATATCAGTGCAATACGGAATAAAAGTGCAAAGTGAAAACAAATATAAATAATAAAATAAATCTTGTGCTTAACAGGTATTAAGTGCAAAGTATTTGCGAATTTATTATTGTCATATTCCGTTTAGCACTTTACTCATTATACATACATAAGTACGTACTTACAATATATAATATATATTTTTTGAGAGCCAAGTAGCGTTACTCTTGGTACCAATTCGTACATACCCCTAAAAAACCTGTAGGAAAAATTCAAATAACCAGTAGAAATTTTTCGTTCCACGGGATTTTAAATATTGTGCATATAAGACACACACAAAAATTTTTGGAAATTCGCCAGCATTCGGGAATTTGCTTGTTAAAATTTAAATAAAGAAAATTACTTGAAATTTATTATTTGTTTCATTCAAATTTTATAAATTGTTGCGATATATACATACCTATCTATATAATAAAGAATAAATAAATTTTCTATCGAAAATGGAGAATTTAAGTTCTGTATTTCGGATTTATTCGAATACATCGAAGAACATTACAACCCACCCGAAGATGAATCCGGTTATACTCTGGAAATAAAAAGTTAAACTCAACGCTATTTACGACAAGGCAAACAAGTCGTACGATGCCTTTCGTAGAACCCAAAAACCCGGTGAGACTATTGACTTCCCAAAGTTAAAGAAAATTTAAAACAGGTCATCAATTATATTTGAAATGTTTGGGATCCATTAACCAAGCTAACTAAAAATACAATTTTGACCTAAACCTTTAATCGATCCCAAAGGAATAATGCGAGTCAATGGCTGATTGAGCAATTCAGCCGCATTATCATATAACGAGCGTCATCCGATTATACTACCCTATAGCAGTCGATTAATAAAACTACTCACCCAATTTACTCACTCAATTACCCTACATGGTGGCAACCAACTAGTTTTACGACTCATGCGTACGGAATTTTGGGTACCGAAGCTTAAAACGCTCATCAAGTCCATTATCCATCAGTGCAAAACTTGCGTCTTACACAAGAAGAGAGAAACTACTCAATTAATGGCAGCTCTTCCAGCGGAACGTACCACCCTAACCCGCCCATTCGCAGCAACAGGAATCGACTTCGCCGGTCCCTATGACATAAAAAATTACACCGGCAGAGCGTGCTTGATCACAAAAGGTTATGTATGCGTATTTGTTTGTTTTGCAACCAAAGCAATACACCTGGAGGCAGCAAGCGATCTCACCACCCAAGCATTCATGGCCGCATTCGCACGATTCTTTTCTAGGCGCCGATCTTTATTCTGACAATGGTACTAATTTCGTGGGAGCGTCTAAACTCTTAATCAAAGATCGACGAGAATTCATAAAATCACTAAAAACACAAGTAACAACAAGTGAAGCATACCAAAACATCAACTGGCACTTTAATCCTCCAGGAGCTCCACACATGGGTGGACTCTGGGAAGCAGGAGTGAAAAGTTTAAACAGCCACTTAAAAAAAGTGTCTCAGATCCAAAATTCACTTTCGAAGAATTACCTACCCTTCTAACCCAAATCGAAAGCTGCTTGAATTCTCGACCTTTAAGCCCACTAAGTGAAGACCCCAGGAATATAGAACCTTTAACTCCAGGCCATTTCTTAATAGGTACCCCTTTGTTAACCCCAGCAGAACCCAACTTAGAAGATACACAACTAAGCATCGCACATAGATGGCAAAAGTTAAAGATACTTCTGCAAACGATGGAAAGAAGAATATCTAAAAGAACTCCACAAACGGTATAAGTGGAAATACCCTCAACGCAATATAGAGGTCAATGATATGGTAGTTATACGCCAAGAAATTCTACCCCCAAATGAATGGAAACTTGGTCGCATCGAAAAAACCTATCTAGGTGCAGACAATAAGACCAGAGTAGTTGACATACGTACTTCTCAGGGAACAATTACCCGCCCAATAACCAAAATAGTCACCTTACCAAATAACTAATCTCATTTCTTTATAGTGACATGGCTCCTCAAAATAGCATCAAATCTATCTGCAGCCGACAGAGTAGCCCAGCCTTCACCATACGATCACTCAGCGTCACCCGAAGCATCACCCCACTCTCCGACAATGGGACCCTGGCTAGACGCTTACATCGCTTTAAAGCGACCCTCTCCCCCATTCGAGAATAAAGAGGAAGTATCCACCGCACGGCTCGGCGTACTATCACCCATTCATCAAAACGCGCACATAAACACGTCGCCTGTGGATTGTGCCAAAAAGATCACCGGCTGGTGACATGTTCAAAGTTTACTAAAATGAACATCCACGAAAAGTTTGACGCAGTAACTATAAGTACTGCCTCAACTGCTTGGCCAGATCGCACTCAACACAACGATGCACAAGCGCAAAACGAAGCAACATGTGTAACGGGGAGCACCATTCAACCCTACATGGACACCCCAGGTTGTTTTGCAAAGAGAAAACCAAAACAACAAAGAGCGACGAACGACTACACAAAGATCCAGAGATTCCAACACTACTGACCCTTATACCCACTGCCATGATAAAAATAAAACACGATGGCAAATGGAATAAAGTACGTGCCATAATTAACCCGACCCGAAAGGTGACAATTATTGCCTGGGAGCTAGTTCAGAGATTGAGGTTACCGAAAACGTACCTTGACTCTCATCGCATATGTAAAATCGTCACAGGGTCACTAACTGATCCCGACTGGCATGTCGAAGTTAACTGCCTTATGACGCAGGAATTACTGACCCGACCCTACAATCGTGATATAGGTGGCGAAATATTTAAGAGATTCGACCACTTAGTCCTAGCCGACCCTATGTTCCACAAGGATGATAAAATCATGATGGAACTGGGAGCAGACATCTACCCAAGGATAATGAAACCCGGATTATTCAACCCAGACAACAGCACCGTGATCGCACAAAACACTGCACTCGGTTGGACTCTAACCGGTGCTTGTGCGATTTAAACTCTAAGTAACCACTCAACCCATTTTAAAACAATATTCCTTAACCCAAAGCGAAATAAATCTAATAACTTTTTTATTCGCAGACCCTGCAAGGCGGCCGGGATGTTCATACCAAATGAACACATCCCTGCATTGTTCTCCTAACTCGTATAAATACGAATTAGAGGACAATGCAAAAGGCTCAACAGCACCAACATAGCTCATAATTCCAATTGGAATTAATCAGCAGACCAAGGAGCAGATATCAGCGCGGACGGACAGAAAAGGCGCGAAAATTAGATCGCCCCAGCAATACAAAAACAACAACAGCAGCACCACCAAAATCTACGAGGGATTATTTAAGCCACATCAAGTTGTAATTAAATGTATAGTTAATTTATATTATTTAAGCCTAACCTATAAATAACATAATTTGAATTATACATATAACACTTAACATACACACACATAAATATTGTACAATTAACCCACACAAATTGTCCATATTTCTACCCTATATACTAAAAGTAATTAAAGTTACATTTTGTTGAATTTTAATTAACATTTTATTTTATTTGGCACACCGGCAAACTCAACGTCGAGTACCCCGACAATGATACAATGTAATAATTTGTGCTAAGAAAAAAAAAATACTTTTAAAGTTAGTGCTGCATTAACTTTTATTAAGAAAAATTTTCCGCTCATATTCATAAATAAAAATAAATTTAAATTTTTATCAAATGTCATCCAAAATGTGTCAATTTCTCAAAACCCTGCGTCTAGAACATAAGAGGAACAACGTGTCGTATGAGTAACTTAATAACCATGCAGGATAGCACCATACAAATTTATACATCCTTTTAACCTTCCTTTTAAACCTTAAAATTTCAAAGTCAAAGAAAATGTTATTTTTAGTACTTCTGTACTTCTCAGGCAACCATTTCTATCATTTTCATTTAGTAAATACATTTGTTTTAGTAAAAGCGTAATCACCACTCAAGTGCAACTAACACAAAGGTTTTACAAATATCACAAATATGCTACAAATTTTCAGAATCATTTCAAAATAAATAAACAAACTGCTTATCTACTATATGTACATATTTAGTAAACACAATAGGAGACTTCAACAAGATATTCCAGATATTTTCTTATTTATTCAATACCACTTCTACACACATGCTCACACACACAGTGAATCTGCAGTAAGTCACCGGGTAAAACAACAGATACACACAGAGACACTAATGCACATTTGAGTAAGGAAAACACGTTACGCGCGTTGTAACGTAACCAACTTCTGCACTCGTAAATATTTGTCTGCTGCTTACGATTTCAAGCGTGTCAGGTGTTTAGTTGCAGCGCCGCCGCCGCTTCACTATTACACAATAATTACGCGAACCACGCAACGCGCTGAAATGCCACACACAACAACAACAACAACACCGCACAGACACTCACGTCCAACTCCAGCTAGTCAGTTGGCACAAAATTAAACTAAACCAAAGCAAATGTTGGCCGGTGACTAAGCTGTGCGAGGAAAAGGCGGAGTGTAACGCGCGCGCGTTCTGCAAAAGTGACAACAAAAACAAAACAAAAAAAAAAAAAACAAACAAAGACAAGACCGATGACGACACTTACGACAACAAAGATAACAAAAGCGCCGCTTTTATGCTGCGACAATTGTGGCTTTAACGTTATGTGGCGTTAGCGTAAACGAGGCGCGTCCAAAGCACAAGACGGTAACTTGCAGACTGAATTTCGAATAGACGGCGAAGCACAATAAAAGAGAAGCATCCGAAAGCGTAGTCGAATCGGTGAGCTCGTTAGAGTTGGACAATTGGCGCCGACGCTGACGTTAAAGTAGCGCTCAACGTCGTTGGCGCAGTATAGGTTTGTGGAACGTGAGCTAGTGAACCAGTTAAGCTAAGCGGACGTGTGGGAGCATGCGTGCGTGTGCGGCGCTCGCTCTCCGCCGCCAGTTGCTCTATTAGTCAGTCACTTATCAGATAATATGATTTAATGGGCCATATAAGGCGAAATGGAAATAGATGATAGTGTTTGCTCTTGATCGTGTTGTTGCTGATTTATTATCAAAGAATATGTCTGTAGTTGGGAGAATGGGGGCGCTATTATGTAAGCTTGAATGTGTGTGTGTATGAAAACTTTGCATATCGTAGACGATAAAAATGTTATCTAATAAGAGGCAGCGTTCCCAATTCCAAAGATCATTGTTTTGATAAGAGCAGAGACAAAAGGTTGTTTGATATTACATTTTATGTATAAGGTCAAGGTTGAAATTGTAAAAAGTTATATAAAAAAATATAACAAAAACGTTAAAAAAAAAAAACTATTAAAAAAAAAAATAATAAAAAAAAAAATTATTAAAATTATTAAAAAAAAAAATTATTATTAAAAAAAATAGTATTATTATTAAATAAGAAATATTGAAAGAATAAGAATAAAAAAATATCTTAACAAAATATAAAACAATTTAAACAATGTTTTTTACCGCTATTATTATATTTATTTTTTAATCAACTATTAAGTATATACTTTTAGGAAAACAATTATTATGAAGCACACTTTAATACATGAAAAGTTCCATTGGCGTGTTACAATTTATATATATATATATTTTAATTATATAAAAAAGTATTAGTTTAAAAGTCCACTTATAACGATTGTTTATTGATTTTTATAATATTCTTCACCAATAGTTATTAATTTTGAGTAATTCTACAAAAAAACATAAGTAATCATTACTTTTGAGCAAAAATATAAACATTTATAATGTTATTATTATTATTTAAGCCTTTATTACAATAAAAATTATAATAAATAAGTTAATAAACACTAGCTGCCAAGGCTTTCGGGTTAAAAATTATAAATAAAAATTATGGTAATTAAGAAAAATTACCCATACATATTATTATTCTTTCTGTTTTGCTCAAAAGTAATGATTAAGTTATAGAACAAAATTTTAACATTCATTGTTTTATGAAATTTTTATATTTTTTCATAAAATTTAATATTTTTATTATATATTATTAAATATAATTTATATATTATATGAATGTACTATATTATAAGTAAAAACTTAGTTTTCTTGTGAAAATTTTTGGAATTTAACAATTTAATTTGTTGATTCGAGATACCACCAATTTTTACTTTCTCAATTTATATTTTTTTTTAATTTATCTTTTAGAATAATTTTTTTTTAAAAAGGTATAAGATAAAAACAATGCAACTATTTCTAAAAGTCTTTCTTAATTAGGGTATGCATGTTTTCACTTTTTACTAAAAAAAATTAAAGAAACATTTTCTTTATAGACAACAGGTGTTTAAGTGAAATTTTGTGTTTCCTAAATTGATAAAAATAATGATTATTTTTGACAATTGTTTTCAATTAAACAAAAAAATAGATTCCAAAAGATTTATTTGTACAAATCCCTAATTTTTACTTTTTATTCGTCATAATGATAATTTTTTTCCCCCAACTTTTCTATTAGACTACTAACAGGTGTGCACAAATAATATAATTTACCATGAAGTGATGAATTACTTATAAGCTTTTGTTCTTAAAAACTAATAGCGAACAATAATGGCAAGCGAAACATGTCGCGATTACAGCGAGTGATAAACAAACAGCGGAAAATAAAAGAAGGAAACAACATTGACTGATAAGAAGCGATCAAATTGGCGAAAATGGGAATAACCGCAATGCTGACCGAATTATGGATAATATGAGTCATACAAATACATATGTATGTACATACATACACACTTAATGGCCCACAGATAGCTGCAATGCATAAAAGCGATGATTGCATTGCTGCTCGCTATAATCACACTAAAGCACAAGAAATATAAAATTATATTTATATATTATATGTATATATATAGCAATTCACTGATAAGTAATAACAAGCCGTGACGATTGTACGAATACCAAAGTGAGTAATGCAAAAGTGTATGCATGTCGGTATGTAAATGTAAGCAATTTTACCGAGATGAATTCCAGTGACGGCAGCAACAACTAAAATGTATGCGCAATAACAACAACAATAAAAGCGTACAAAAACAACAACAAATGCGTAACAAAAACAACAATAAACGCGTAATAATAACAACAACAATAGTTGATGCATACGCAATTGCCCCAAATACCAGAAATACTCGTGAAGGCGAACTGCAGCGCGTGTGCTTTGTGAAAGAATGCACCGAATGGCGACGAAATGCGACGGCAAGGTCCGCGCCCGAAAGCGATTGCAAAGAGACTGAGGCAGCGAGTGATGGTCCCAGTGTAAACAAAAGTCAGTTGAGATTCATTTTGCGAATTTATGTATGTATGTACAGTATGTATGTGCGAGTGTGTATGACAGCGAAAGCGAATAGAGAAGCGAGAAAGAAATGACAAAACACACAAGAAATGCTGATAGTAATCAAAAAGAATACAGATGACGCCTACTATGGTGGCACAACGGCTGGTGGCGCGAATAATAGACAATGACGTTGTTGGTGGTCTGCCTAGCTGGGGCGCAGCTAGTGGTCCACACACACATACACATCGGTGATGATCATTAAGTATTGCTGCTGACTAATAACTAACATTGAAGTCATATGCGGCACAACAGGTGTGACAGTGCGTGGTGTCTGTGCGTATATGTGTGCAACGACTGCGAAACTGGAGTTGACGGCAACGCTGATATAACAATTCAGCCGTGGCCATAGCACGGAAAGTGGCACACGTTCCAGAGCTGCACCGAAACGAGCTTGACAAGCGCAAAATAAATTAGTAAACAAAAAAATAAAAGAATAATCATAAAGAGACAGGAATTTGGAGAGCAACAGCTGGTTGAAAAAGCCAGAGACGAGCGGAAAGCTGTGGACTCGATATCAGCTCGGCTTTATTAGGTACATAAGACAACCGCGCAAGCTTGCTGACCCGCTTTCGCTTTCTTTGATGCGTGGTATTGTTGTTGCTTTTATCATTAGCTTTAGCGTTCAACAACAATACTCGTATATATTTGTATATCAAAGGCATCGACACGCGCCTTTCTACAACAATGTAAAATTAAAATAATAACAACAACAAATTGAAATATTAATAAATGATAAGCATAAAGAAATCAAAACGACTCGAACCTTTTCAACAACCTGTTCGCAAAGTATGCGGAGAATGAAAGACGATCAGGCGAGCTACTTATGTGTGTGACGTTCGGGAGTAACGACAGTGGTAAGCCACGAAAAGTGTTGCGTGAGCAAAATTATTCATTGCGTAGCTTTATGGCGCGAGACCGACCTACCGAGCGCCCAACCGACCTGGCTTACTTGGTTCGGCAGGCTGGCTGATAGCGCTTGGTTACGTGCACTGTCGGTCACTGGATATTACGAAAATGTCTGTTACCGTTATATGCCCTCACAGACTAGGCTT